AACTGGAGTTGCTGAAGATTGTTACCTGTCATGTGGGTGCCAGGAATCAAACCCAGGTCCTCTCAAAAACAACCAGTGTTCTTAACTGTTAAGCCATCTCTCCAGCCCCCTACATTTAAGTAATTTTTTTTGGTCTTTTTGAGACAAGGTCTCCCTGTAGCCCCAGATGTCCTGGAACTCACTGTGTGGACCAGGCTGGCCTTGAACTCACAGAGATCCGCCTGCCTCTGCCTCCCAAGTGCTGGGATTAAAGGCGTGTGCCACCACACCCGGCACATTTAAGTAATTTTAAAGGTAAATTCTGAAAAAATAAAGACACAACTCCCTCCCATTCAAAAATAGGCTAAAAAGGAATTGTGCATGGACTAAAAAGTTAAGCAACAAAACTACCACATAAATCAGAATAATGAGAAAGATTATCTAAGCAATATAGTATAGGAACTATTTATACAATATTTACATTGTATTAAAAATTATAAAGCATCTAGAGATAAGATAAAATACAAGGGGCTGTATGTAGCTTCTATGCAAACCATCTTCTACTTTATTTCTATGAGGGCTAGAGCATCCTCAGATTTTGATATTTTCAGGAGCCATAAAACTAATCTCCCCTAGATACTGAGGCACAAATATACATGTGAATGAATAAATGACAAGTTCCCATAACAGCTGTATATTACATTGGGGGTGCCTGATTTGGGAGTGAGAATGCAGAGTGAAGACACCTGTCCAGGAGCTGTCCCCTTCCCCTGCTCTTCTACCACTAAGGTCCACACTGTTGCTTAGCTGAGCCATTGTAACTGCCTCCTGGCTGACCTCCCTGCTTCACTAGAATCTGTTCTTCACTTGGCAACTACAGTGATCCTAGGAACATGCATGGAATTCACTGGTCTTCTCTCTTAACCTCCATAGCTTTATCATTGTTCAGAGGTATGGCCAAATCAGAATTGTGTCCCTCACCTCCTTCCCAAACTTCTCCTTCTCTTTCCCACTCACATTCTTCCCTGTGCTCATTCTTTAACAAACTAGACTGATTTCTGCCTCAGACCCTTTGCATGGGTCGTCCCATCTGCCTAGAATGTGAATCCTGCAGGTATTTACACAATTTGTTCCCTCACTGCCTTCAGACATATTCAAAGACCACATTATCAACAAAGAGTATAAACTAGTTCACAGAGAAAAAAATGAAGGCATCTTTAAGCATATAAAAGACACTCAAGCACACTAAAAAGAAGAGAAAGTTATGTTGATGTATAAGTCCCACAGCATGTTTCATACTCTGTAAGAAAAGGGAGAAAATATGATTATATATTCATATATGGTTTGCTTATATTGTCAAATAAATAATGCAAAGATCAACCCAAACACAATAAGTATTGTCAGTCACAGGGGATGTTAAAAGGGTCAAATGGGGCAGGCTAGAGACTAGATTTGTCTGAATATACCTGCTTACAGTTTTTACTTTGGAGTCATGTAAAGGTTGCTATAATTTAAAAAAATGAAATTGACTAGGAAAAAAGGAATTAAAAAAAGAAAACAAATACAACTCTATACAAAACTAGAAGACTAATTAATGCATGGAAGAGAATTCTTCCAGGTGACCTTATAACATGTCAATGTAAGTATATTTATTAGTGGGGTATATCACATGACATATATGTAGAGGAATATATAGGATCACAAAGCACTCATAAATACATTCAAAGCCTCACTGTTGACTAATAATGCTGCCATATTTTGACACTGGTCTTTACAAATGGTAACACGTATTCCGTTAGAAATGGGAATTTTTGTGTAACATTGCAGGGTACAGATATAAAGCTGATGTAAAATCCTTATGGTCTTAGAAATGTCTATGTGAATACAAAATTTTTGTTTTTTAAAAAGGTATTCTTTCTCTAGTTATTTACGTTTTAGAGATCTAGAAAAAATGGCAACCTCATAGCAATGGAGAACCCCTGGCACCCAAACCTGGTCTCTAAACATCACTTCCTGCTAAGAGGATCCAGAGCTTTTAGAAAAACAGCTGACTCCAGACCTGGGACAGAAAATGTGGGAGGCAATCCAGGAGCAGCATCTTGTGCCAAAGTGGGTCCTTACATTTTATATGTGAAATGCTTTGATGCTTTAGATTTGCTCTAAACTACTCCAACCAAACATATGCATACTCATATACACATCTACACACACACACACACACACACACACACACACACACACACAAAGCAGCACAAGGTAGGAGTGAGGGGTATATAAAATAAGAATAGCAAAGGTTTAAAACTCTTAAAGTTGGTTATGAATATATGCGGTCTTACTATACAATTCTCTGTTCTGAATATTTGAAATGTTCTACAAGTAAAAGATTTTGGGGGCTAGGGATATAGCTCAGTTGGTAGAGTACTTGCCTAGTATGCATCAAGCCCTGGGTTTGATCATAAGCACGGCATAAGCTTGGAGTGGTAGCATATACCTGCAATCTTCGTTCTCAGGAGGCAGAGGCAGATTGGAAGATCAAGGTCATCCTCAGTTACATAGCGTGTTGGATGTCTCATTCAACCCAGTCTCAAAAAATATTTTTTAAAAGTCATTTCATCAAAGGAATTGGGCTTGGTGTAGTTCAGAGCTAGAATGTGTGTTCAGCATGCATGAGGCCCTAGGTTCAATCCTTAACCCTCCACCCCCAAAGTTACTTTATCAGAGAACCTTTTTCGTCCCCTGTATTAAAAAGACATCATAGTCACACCACATTCCTTGGCCTCCACTAACTTCCATACTGTATTTATATTGACAGGCTCGCTATACTTTTACTAGAGAGGTAGTCTTTGCCATGCTCACTGTGTAGCTTACACCCCACAGTCTCAAAGTGATCTGGGATACTTATTAAAAATGCTTGCCCCTGGGCTTCTCATACCAGGTCTCTTGAATCAGAAATTTTAGCTCCAAGTCCAAGAGTCTGCATCTTAACCAGCATTCTCAGTTGATTTTTATGTGTGTTTGAGAACCACTGTCTTAGGAGAATGGTGGTACGACCAGGGGCTTTGCATTAATTGTATTGGCATCATCAACACACAGGTCTTTTTTAAAATTAGTCATCCTTTAGTTGTACACAGATGTATGGCAGTTCATAATTAACACACAGGCTATCTGACCCTGCTCCCACCTGGCAATTAGAAATGAGTAAAAATTTAAAATATGTTGCTCTTCTTTTGACCATAAGTAACTGCAAATTCTTGCTTTTGAATAGGCTCCCATTCCCAAATACAGAAGTTGAGCATTTTAGAAATACTTCCTTCTCAATCTATAAACAAAGGCAACCTCAATATTGCTTACAGGCGGGTCTTCATCTTTCACAGGCTGGCATTTCCATCTTTCTTTTTTGTTTGTTTGTTTCTGTCTCTTTTTGAGAGGCGTTCTCACTATGTAGGCCAGGGTAGCCTGGAATTCACTCTGGAACTCAGGCTGATCTCAAATTTGTAGTGATTCTCCTGTCTTAGGTTTCTGAGTGCTAGGATTACAGCTGTGAGCCACCACACCTGGTTCAATGCCTCTTGTTCAAAGTCCCTTACCCTCACACTAGCCAAGAATCTCCTATTCTATTCTGGCCACACTGAGCAGCTCACTCTATCCCCAACACTTCCTGGGCAGAGCACTTTTACACAATCATTCCTCCTACCCAGTAAGTGCTTCTCTTTGCATACGAAATCACCATGGGTTCTTCAACTTTCATGTCCTCCCCTAAAGCCTTTCAGGTCTGCATGTCTTAGATGGATATGACCTCTTCCTCTTAAACTCCAAGACTAGTGGATTTTTTTCCCTCTCCATATACTCAGCTCTTACCTACTACCAAGCATCGAGAATTTTCTCTTCATATACCTTGCCTCCCAAGAGTTCCATACCCCTCCTCATAAGACATCCAGACTAGTAGGTACATTGTCAAAGAGCAAGTAAATCAATTAGTATTTTACTTTAAATCCCCACTGATATCTCCTCCATGTGCTTGGCAAGCAGAACCTACTCTTAGAAATAAGTGGCTGGGGCTGGGGAGATGGCTCAGTTGCTGAATGCTTGCCAGGCTAGCTGGCCAGCCCATCTAGCAAAACTGTCAACTCCAGGTTCAATGCAGGAACCTCTCTCCCAAAAATAACGTAGAGAGTATTTGAGGAAGATAGTTGATGCAGACCTCTGACCCCTGCACATTCACACATGTGCACATACACACAAAAAGGAATGGAGAAAAGGAAAGTAAAGAAATAAGCAGCCAGGGGGCTGGAGAGATGGCTCAGCGGTTAAGAACACTGACTGCTCTTGCAGAAGACCCAGGTTTGAATCCCAGCACCCACATGGCAGCTAACAACTGTCTGTAACTCCAGTTCCAGGGGATCCAACAGCCTCTTCTGTCCTCCGCAGGTATTGCACGACACAGGTGCGTTATCTACATGCAGGCATAACACTCATACACATAAAATAAATAATAAATATTTTTAAAAAGAAATAAGCAGTCGGTTAATGGCAAGCAGGTCTGGAGAGCCCACTCTTCCGTTACATGTAACCATTGTTTTTCTGACTGTGACTCTGCTAGAAAACCAAGAAATCACCCAGAGAACAGTGAAGAATGCCAACTGGCTACTTACCAATGAGGGCAACAAGTCCCCAAAACACAACTGAGGCTAGCATGGTGGTGAGTCTTATCCTGCAGGGCCTGTTCTGGTTTGATATAGAAATAGATTAATTTAATTTTTTTTTTTTGGTCTTTTTGAAACAGGGTCTCTCTGTAGCCCCAGCTGACCTGGAACTTGGCATGTAGCCCAGGCTGGCCTTGATCTCATACAGTTCTGCCTGCCTCTGCCTCCCAAGTGCTGGGACATGTTTGGGTTTTTTTTGGCCTGGAATTCACTATGTAGAACACACTGGCCTTGAACTCAGAGAGATCTACCTCCCTCTGCCTCCCAAGTGCTGGGATCAAAGGCATGAGCCACAACACCCGGCAAAGCAAATTAATTTCAAAACATGAAGGTTTCTTAACAAGAAGTCCTTTTGATTAAAAAATAAAAAATCTAGCTTAGAGTCATTTCCAACTCAGTGCCTATTATCCAGTTCCAAGAGAGCACTCCTCCAGTCTCAAGTATGTGGTTCCTTTGATTGCTCACTTTCCTAAAGTATTAACTCATAGCTCATTCCAATCCAATTTCATGATGACATCACATCTTATGTACGTTACCCCACATAGTTAGAAGAGGTTTATTTGTTGCACTCTGTTCCTTCTCAAATACGTTCTTGCCTTGGTTTCATTTTTAAAAAAGCAGCTTTGATATTTATAAGATAGAGGAAAGCCAGCACTTACCTTGTTTGCAATTTCCCAGAGAAAAATCTCCTCTGTCTTTGAGAAAGGTTTTTGTAACAGCGACCTTGGGTTAAGGTTTCATAGAAGATAGCCTTAGTCCTATAATATAGGTTTAACAGATGGAGAATCCATCAGTCAGAGGCTGCTGTGCCTCTGAGAGCAGACCTCACCATGGCTCTACCACTGTGAAGGAAGCTTTTAAACACCAGCATGTAGACTCACCTGCCTCTTCTGCTTTTAGCCTGTACCAGTGATTGGTAGAGGAACTTTATATAAGATTTAAAGGCCTCTTTAAACCATTGACCTCATTAGACCTGACTATAATAGTACTTTGGATTTAGGTGGCTCCTTTAATAAAAGGACTTCAAAGAGTTTATTGACCACTGTCAATTAATTAATCTAATGAACCCCCAGGTTCTACTGGAGGCATCTATTTGGTGGATAGTTTCTGGATAGCTAAAAGGATGGTAGGCTTACATCTTTTAAATTTGAGAATAAAATGCAGATAATAGCCTTAAGAAAGAGAAATAAACAGGAAACACTAGCAGCCCTCATTTCTGAATTTTAGGTCACCTGAAATGTGTATTTCCCTATTCCAGTGTCATAGGATTTCCATACTAACATTTCACACAGCCTTAGTCTATCGTGTCACTTGTCTGTGACAGGTGAACTTGACTTCTTGTTCCAAGTTCACTTCTTTTTTGTTAAATTTATTTGTTCATTTTTTTATGTGTGTGAGTGTTATGCCTGCATGTGTGTGAGTACACCCATGTTGTGTAGTGCCCACAGAGGACAGAAGAAGGTGTCAGATCCCCTGAAACTGGAGTTATGAACAGTTGTTAGCCGCTGTGTGGGTGCTGGGATTCGAACCTGGGTCTTCTGCAAGAACTGTCAGTACTCTTAACTGCAGAGCCATCTCTCCAGGACCCCAAGTTCACTTCTGATGGAGTGGCTAGCCACTTACTGTAGAAGAGTGGCACAAAGGCAGAGAGTAGTAACCTGGGTGGCTATTGTCCCATATTTTTTCTAGGGACATGTAATGTGTTTGTGTGCATATCTGTCTAGGGACACATAATGTGTTTGTGTGCACGTGTGCAGAGGCCACAGGTCCATATCAGGTATCTTTCTCTATCACTCTCTATGTTAGTTTTTGAGACAGGGTCTCTCACTGAACCTGGAGTTCACTGGTTGGACAAGAGAAGCAAGCCCCAGGAATCCTCCTGTTTCTGCTTTCCTAGCACCAGGATTACAGGCATCTGTACTGCACCTGGCTTTTTACATGGGTGCCAGGAATCCAAATTCAGGTCCTCATGTTTGCATGGCAAGCACTTTACTGATGGAGCCATCTCCCTAGCCCCTTCATTGCCCAAACTTTCTGAGGAGGTTAGAGAAAAGGATTTGGCTAAGTACATTCATCAAGGATAGAATATCTTTATTTCATGCTTATGTAAAAAGGAAGAGAGGAAGTATACTGTGCAGCTCCCCAAACAGGAGATGGAAGGGACATTGTTAGACTAGGCAAAGCATATTTTCTAGAGTGTAGGAACAAGTCTGGCCTGGATCCCTCCATACATATGGGATGTTTCTTCCAGGCACCAGGAGTTAGAAGATCCAAACAACTTTCCAGCTCTCTAATAATGAAAACCACAGGTGCTAGGAGAACTTGCTCACATGATGCTGACCTCTGCACTATCTCAAGACACCCACTTCTGTCCTGCATGCTCTCCTGTAAAGTAGGCTACCCCTTAAATACCTTAGCATACAAGACGTTGAGATAGAGATGTTTGAGCTGATGGATAATTTCTGCCTTGACTCTCAGGGAAATGACTCATGGAGAGCCTGCTCCACCTCCACCATCAACACTACACTCTGGGGTGCTCATTAATAAAGGGTTTGGGGAAGGTCTAACTGCCCTGAGGCAGCCTTTAGAAACACATAGGTTATTACTAGCACCAATGCCACATTATGTGTCATACAGATGTATTGTGTTCATGGCCTGCCCAAGTACAGTGTGGACTGGGCCACTGATATGAGGCTTCTAGTATAAGCACTATGAGAAAGCTCAGAAAATGAAGAAAGGATGGAGAAAGAATTTAAAGATTAAAACTAGCTGGAGGTTGAGACTCCCCTTAGATGTTCCTTAAGAATACCAGTGCTCATAAAATACCGTTGGACATGACGCACGCTCAGTTTCTCTCCTCACTTTCAGAAGGCATGAGAATCTTCATGTCCAGACCCTCTGAAACTTTAACTGCTGTTTTCAAGCATGAATTATTCTGCTTTGCTCAAACTGTTAAAAAAAAAAAAAAGAAAAAAGAAAATTATTTGCAAGCTTTCAAATGTCAGATCCCATTGGAATTATATTACTCCATCCTCTAATAGCCCTGTGCAGTAGGTACTATTATTTTAGAGATAAGGAAAGCAAGCCGGAAAAGCTAAGCAACTTGTCAAAGATGGCACAGTAACTATGAGGCAGCATCAGGATTTGAACCCAGGTTGGTAAGACTCCACAATCCATGTTTGTCCTCTATAACAATGTAAGGAAGAAACCGACTCTCTAGACTAATGGCCCTGCAGAGCAATTGTTACAGCAGGTCGAAAGCAATCTGCACATTGAGCCTCACCTGGGGTCTGAATACTTAACACTGGTCACAGCTAGTCACACCATTATCTCTGTAAGTGGTGGTATAAGTTCTAAGACAGAATAATAATGATACCCACGGTGCTTCTTGTCGCTTTATGTTTTCTCCATAATAATGTGGTTAATATGCATTGAACTTGAACAGTAGTCTTGGCGGAATGCTCATAAAGGCATGGCCTGGGGTTGTTGTACTCTTCAAGCCTTTAATACCTATATCTTACTGAGACAGTAGATGGTTAAGTGTAAGTAGCACAAGAAGATCGTAAACATATCTTAACATTTAAAAAGAAACCCACCAAATGATTCTCCATTACTTTCCAGGGCTTGGGGGATTCTTGGCACCTGACATAATCTCCATTAGCCCCAGACTTCCAAAAAAATAGAAATATAAAATACTAAGAAATATCTTTTCTATGCAAACAAAACACCCTTCCTAAGATGCTTCAGTATACCAATTCTCTGGTGATCTCTGATGTCTTGATATATTTGAGATGGCTAAACTTAGCAGTGAGGACTCCAGTGGCCCCAATATCTAAATGGTCTCAGGAATATCCTCTAAAGTAGGATATATGAAGTTTTCATAAAATCCACTAACTTTAGTCAGTCTCATCGAAGGCAGGGTAAAGTCTGGCTGGAAGTCTCGGCTCTGCCACACACCAGTGGAACAACGAGTTCAGGCATTATTTTCTCTGTGTCTGGGGTGGAAAGATTGGACAAGAGCAGACACCATATGAGGACTCTCTGGACTATAAAACTGTACTGGAATGGCATGTCAAGCTCATCCTGCATCCCAAAGAGGGATGTCCAAGCATGAAATGCCTAACACAGCGGTTTAAATACAGATTAAGTCTATGTCACAGATTTTCCATTATTCATGAAAACATGAACCATATTTTATTTCTCACACAAGTCATATTATGTGTTTTAGGGTATCTTTCAAAGTGAATTTTCTCTGCTATCTTGCAATTGACCCACAACAGAAGTCCTTTATCATAGACAGGCCCAGAATTTAAATTGAAGACCTTGGCTGTCAACCATTTTCATAGAGAAAAAGACAGTATAGGAAGATGTGCTGCATGATTGTTGGTCTCAGCCACAGATAGAAACTTCCCTGTCAGGCTGCTTACATCACAACCAGCAGCAGCACTGCCAATGGAAGTTCTTAACCTTGCACATGTCAAGAATTGCCTCAAAATTTTCCAAAACAATGGATGTGTTGACAAAAAGGTTGCATTGAATGTCAAGATGTTTTTCATCATAACTGTCAAGTGCTAGTTGCTGATGCTCATAGTTTGAGGCAGGTGGGGCCACAGCCTGGGGGACTCATCATGACACTAAGTGCTCATTGCTATGGTGGTCAGACTTGAACCAAGAGTCAACTGCATCTGGAAAGTCTATAGAATTCCACTTTTTCCTTTTGCATCCTTTTCACTTCCTAACCTCATGTCTTACTCCCTCTGAAGTTCAGGGCATGACACAATTGACTAATGTTTGATAGAGACTGGAAGGGACATCATCTTAAGGTACAATTTAATTTTTTAGCCAGGGTATGTGATACCTTAGTCTTGCTTTCTTGAAGTGAAGAATGAGTCAATCCACCAGGCAACACTGAAACCAGAGGATGAAGATGGGACACATTCCTGAAAAGGGTTGTTATTTTTATAATAAAACACATATATTTTTTAAAATCCACACCTTTATTATGGAGAAAATGTGAAATGTGAATGAATGTTTAAGACCAAAAATAATGGCAGGTTCAAAAGACCCCTCTTGGACGCTCCCATGAGGCTTTGTTCCTGGTGCCCCCAGAGGGACCCTTGTGTGGTCTGCTATTGGGGAGCTGCGAAGAAAATGTTTAAAGTCTATGGCCACACCTACATTGAATGGACCCAATCTTATTTGATCTTGGAAGTTAAGCATGGTCAGACCTGGTTAGTACTGACTGGGAAAAGTTTAAGAAGCACTGTTTTGAGCCAGTCATGGCAGCACATGCTTAGAATCCTAGCATTTGAGAAGTGGAGGCAGAAAGGTAGAAACTCAAGGCCAGCTTGGGCTACATGAGGCCCTATTTAAAAAGCAAACAAGCGTGGGTCCTTCAGCAGGACTCCTATATTAAAATCTATTCATCCAGGCATCAGGGATCAGGAATCAGTGTGGAAGATGGGGCAGAAAGATTGTAAGAGCCAGGAAGGAGGTGCATGACCATATGGAAGTAGAGTCTTACAGGCTCCTGGGACTCTTCTCATATGAACCTACAGTAATGGTATCCACATGCACAAGACCCATGCAAACTTAAGCAAACAGAAACCCGGTATAGAACTGTGGAAATGAACAGCAGGCCCCAATCTTAGTTGATGAATTATTGGCAGCTGATTACTGCTGGGAAAGAAAGAGCTGATCTTCTTAAAGGGAGGTAC